ATCCAGTTTGGGATGGTTTGTTACAGCAGCTGCAGGAGACTTGTATGCATTTGTTCTGCCAACATGCTTTTCTCATTCTCACACGCCTTTCAGGTCTCAGACCCACTCCCTGGGGGAGGAGCTCCCTGGTGCCCATCCAAGCACCTGCCTGTGCCCCTTTGGGAGTCTCACCACAGTCTATGATCATACATTTACTGATCACTTTTTAACTTATTTATTGGCCAATTACACATTTGTTGATTATTGAAAATGCGAACTATGTCTGGTTTACCTTTGAATCCCAGCATCTGTGAAGAGCCAGCTCCTGCTATTATTATTGTTAATTAGTATTAGTATGAAATGAATGAACGGATACCTCCTCATTCATTCATTTATCCACTCAACTACCATTTACTGAATGCTGCTGGGTGCCAGGGGCTGTGAATATGACTGTGGACAAGACAGGCCCAAGTGCCTGCCTTAGTGGGCTCTTCTAGTCGGGGTGGCCAGGAGAAGCAGACAAAGTGTCTGGTGCATCAGGTAGTGGTGGGCTCCAGTGGAGATTTAGGCCGGGCCAGGGCAGGTCTGGTTGATGAAGGAACACACACCCAAGGAAAGGGAGGCAGGGATCCCAGTGGAGACCTCGGGACAGAGCAGCATGTGCCAAGGCCCTGAGGTGGGGCATGCTCAGCTCCTCGAGGTTCCCCGAAAGGGCCTTGTGTGGAGCAGAGGAACTCCTGGGGGTTCAAGTGGAGGAAGGATGAGATCCAATGCACTCTGTTAAGGCTCGTTCTGAGTTCTGATGGCTGGGATGTCCGTGGCCTTTGAGCTGTGTAGTGGAGAAGTGAGCATCTGCAGGGGTGGCTCCAGGCGTTTTTGAGTATGCAAGCGAGACAACTGATCACTTTAATCGGGCACTGCAAACTCTTTAGATCAAGGCCTGGGAGATGTGGCCATTTTCTTGTTCACTCTAAGGTGGGAGATAGCTGAGGTGTTGGTGTTGACCAAGATTAAGACAGGGCAGCACCACTGTTTGCCAGACTCTGCCGTGTTTAAAGGCATCTCCCACCTGGCTGCCTTGAAGAACACTCACTCCCTTCAGAGTCTCAAATTGATCAACTGATAAATCAATCAATACATCAATCCTCGTGTTACTTTGTTAATCACCTCCTGTTTCAGTCACAGTACTGGCATCTGGCACACATTATCAAATGTAATCCTTCCCACTTTCCCTCATGAGACCCTTTATACAGATGAGGAAACCGAGGCTCAGAGAGGAAAGTCTGTGGCTTCAGGGTCATCAGCTAGGAAGTGGCCGACCCTGGCCTGGAGCTCAGGCCTGTGTGAGGCTGAGGTCAGTGTGTCCTGGCATGGAAGAGAGAGAAGTTGGCAGATGCAGCGCCCCAGCATCTACTTGGAGGAAAAGGTTGGGGTCCTTGGGAGAGAGGGCTTCTGGAAGTGCAGGTGTTCTAGGAGAGAACTGTGTGAGCAGTGCACAGTGCTGGAAAACATGGGACCAAGAGGTTGGCCTGGTGGAGTTCTCTATCTCCGAGGCTATGACTGGGGGACACAGCCAGTGGGGATCCCTGACTGAGATCTTTGTAGAGTTCTAGGGAGAGAAAAGCAGAAAATATAAATTATTCTACCAAGACAATTGTCTTTCTGGGGGATGACCAATTTTCTCCACCATCTATCCATCCATCCATCCATCCATCCATCCATCCATCCATCCATCCATCCATCCAAACATCCATCCATCCATTCATCGATCCATTGATCTATCCATCCATCCGTCCATCCATCCATCCATTCATCCATCTGTACATCTATCCATCCATCCATCCATCCATCCATCCATCCATCCATCCATCTGTCCATCCAAACATTGATCCGTCCATCTGTCTGTCCATCCATCCATCCGTCCATCCATCCATCCATCCATCCATCCATCCATCCATCCATCCGTTCATCCATCCGTCAGTCCGTCCATCCATCCAAACATCCATCCATCCATCCGTTCGTCCGTCCGTCCGTCCGTCCGTCCGTCCATCCAGACATCCAAACATTCATCCAAACATCTGGCAATCCACCCACCCATCCATCCATCCATCCATCACCCATCCAAACATCCATCCATCCATCCGTTTCATCCATCCATCCATCCATTCATCCATCCATCCATCGAAACATTCATCCATTCGTCCATCCATCCATCCATCTAAACATTTATCCATCCATCCAAACACCCATCCATCCATCCAAGCATCCATCTATTCATCCATCCATTCAGCCATCCATCCATCTATCCATCCATACATCCATACATCCATCCAAACATCCATCCTTCCATCCATCCATTCATCCGTACATCCAAACATCCATCCATCCATCCAGACATCCATCCATCCATCCAAACATTCATCCAAACATCCATCCATCCATCCATGAATCCATCCATCCATCTAAACATTTATCCATCCATCCAAACATCCATCCATCCATCCATCCATCCATCCAAATATCCATTTATCCATCCAAACATCCATCCATCCATCCATCCATCCATCCATCTGTCCGTCCATCCATCCATCTGTCCGTCCATCCATCCAAACATCCGTCCATGCATCCAAACATCCATCCATCCTAACGTCCATCCAAACATCCATCCAAACATCCATCCATCCATCCATTCCATTCATCCAAACATCCATCCATCCATCTGTCCATCCATCCATCCATCCATCCAAACATCCATCCATCCAAACATCCATCCATCATCCATCCATCATCCATCCAAACATCCATCCATCCATCCATCCATCCATCCATCCATCCATCCATCCATCTATTCATCCATTCATCCATCCAAACATCCATCCATCCATCCATCCATCCATCCATCCATCCATCCATCCATCCAAACATCCGTCCATCCAAACATTCCCCAAATATCTATCCAAACTTCCCTCTTTGTAGTCTATGACAAGCATTCTTCTTGGCACTGGGGATACAGGATGGACCCTAGTTCCTGTTCTCAGGAGGCTGGGAAGCTCTGAAGAAATGATTACACAAATAATTCTACTGAAATTGTGAGGACCACCAGGAAGGAAGGTACAGCACTCACTAAGAGTGTGTATCCAGGTTCCCTCACCTGGTGCTCAGAGTGGGCTTCTCTGGCAAGTAAGCTGCGATGAATTGGATGAGCCAGGGTGACCTGGTCGCGAGCAGAGAAGCGCAATCCCAGTGGGAGGAACAGAATGTGCAAAGCGCCTGAAGAAGGAAGGGCTTGTTGAAGTGGGAAGAACAGAAAGAAAACTGGTGTCTGGAGGGGTTGGTGGGCAACATGAAGAGGCTGTGGAGGAGGCGGGGGGCTCAGGCACTGGGTCAGGGGGGCGATACTCTGATGATGCTGACACACTTAGGGTCAGGTGATCACTCCGGGGTGTGAACTCAATGTGGCCCCCTTCCAATTCTGTTTTGCAGTCTCTGCTTTCTCAGGTTCCTCTGAAAGGGGACCGCAAGGTCAGGATGGGCACGGGGAGGCTTTGGATACCGAAGCAGTTTTATTTTGGCAAGTCAGCCTAAGGAGCACGTGCGCCTAAAATGAGGCAAGAGTGTGAGCTGCACACAAGTTCACACGCTCAAAACTCCTGTGGGCAGGGCCTGCGCAGCTCTCCTCTGTCTGTTAATGGTACAATCTGTTCAGACCTTTGGAACATTCCTCAGCTTTTATTTAATGTAGGAAGAATCATTTCTGGAATTAGCATATAAATTGGCAGAAGTCAGCAGCTCTAGCAGAAGTCACTCTCTGTGTCAGGACAGGAGAGGGAAGGCCTGCGCATGGATGGGAGGTCCACTCCCCTGGCGCCCTTCTTTCTCCTTCAAGGGGCAAATACATGCTCCATTTAAAACACTCCAGCCTTCCCAAAATGTGCAACTTGAGAAGGAATCTGTGTCCCTTTGGCGGTGGCTGCAAGGGGAGAGGGGTCGTGGCCAGGGACGGGGTGCTGAGGAGAGCATGGGAAGCGTTTCTGGCCAAATGGCTTGCTTCGGGAAAATTTTCCCACAGGAGTGGCCCCGTGGCCTGCCTCCCAGTGCAAGGTTATTGAAAGGGGAGGCAGAGAAATGCTTACTGCCCTAAGCTGTCTTGTCTGGTCTGGTCGGGGGCAGATATTTTACACATTTTATAGCTCTATTAGTTTTAGGTCTTTTGGATAGGGGTGACCAGTTGATCATTAACTGTTTGCTACGTGTGGCATTCCGAATTCTGGCCCCAGATAGCGCAGCCCAGCGTGCTGATTCCGCCTGGCCATTGGGCCATGGCTGGGCGGGCCGCCGCCTTCCCCAGCGGGTGGGGAGAATTCCCCTGATGCCAGGGCTCGGGCCCTTGTGGAGGCCTCCCTGGCTCCCTCGGGCTCTGATGTGAACACTTCATTATTTTTTCTGGGAGTTCAATCCTCTTGTGAACCCTCCACTATGAAGTCTTCATGCCTACTATGGGCGTCTGCCCTAAAAAGGCACAAATGATTTCTGACATCCCTACTTTGGTGTGTTTTCCCCAGAATAAAATAGCAATCAGGCTGGGCATGGTGGCTCATGCCTGTAATCCCAGCACTTTGGGAGGCTGAGGCAGGCAGATCACGAGGTCCGGAGATTGAGACCATCCTGGCTAACGTGGTGAAACCCTGTCTCTACTAAAAATACAAAAAATTAGCCAGGTGTGGTGGGTACCTGTAGTCCCATCTACTCGGGAGGCTGAGGCAGGAGAATCCTTGAACTCAGGAGGCGGAGGTTGCAGCGAGCCGAGATCGCGCCACTGCACTCCAGCCTCGGCGACGAGTGCGACTCCTTCCCACCCACCCCCACCTGAAAAATAGCAATAAAATAAGGGCTCTTTCTACTTCCTGGACAACCATGGGGTCTGGGTGTCCTCTTCTCCATCTTTCGGCCTCCAGGCCTGGCCAGGACACTGTCCTGTCTTCATTGTAAGACTCGCTCTTTTGACGTTCTCTACCTACAAAAGGTTCCTGCCAAAGTGCAGCTTTTGGTCTGGTTGGGAGTCTTTAAGAGGCTTCTTGGACAGGAGGGTTGGGCAGGTCACTGGGGTAGGAGTTGGGAAGCGGTCACACTCATGAGTAGATTCTCGTTTTGCACTGATCAAATATTCTACCGGAGCTTCCAGAAATGTTATTCCCTTGCAGAATCAAAGGCAATTGCAAGGCATTAAAAACCAATATGCCTTCAGTGTGTAGGCTCCGGTCTCACCCCCAGCTGTTCACGTTGCCACCCAGTCCTGTCTCAGATCTCATCAGGCCACCTGTTCTCCCTCCCCATCCCCAGCTCAGTGCCATCTCCTCTCCTGGCAACTCCCTCTTCTGACTCCTCTCCTTCTGGGGCACGTGGCCTCTGGTGGGCACTTCCAAATGGTCAATGTTGTCACTCACCCTGGGCTTAGAACTGTCTATGACTCTTCAGGATTCAATCTAAGAGAAAAGCCCCAACCTGGTTTGATCCTAGAATGTCTGGCGAAGCCCGGCCCCTCCTTTCCCACACCGGTGCTCAGGGCAGCTTCGAGCGGCCCCTCCTTTCCCCACACTTTCACTCAGGGCAGCTTCGAGAACGTCCTGCAGCTGCCTGGACATGGCACCACTGTCTCTCTCTGTGCGTGTCCACTGCTGTTCCCTCTGCTGTCTCTCTCTGTGCGTGTCCTCTGCTGTTCCCTCTGCTCTCCCCTCACCCCCACCTGGCCGGCCCGCCTTGCCCCGACGCCCCTCTTCAGGAAGCCTCCCCATCCCTGTCTCTGGTCTCTAGTGCTGCATTCACCACCTTATTCCCTTTCCATGTGTCTCATTTCCTCCCGGGCTTCCTTCCACCTCGGTGCATTCTGGGGCCAGAAGCAGCTTTGAGCCCTGTGGATGTGAGACAGACGGACCAGTGCGTGTGGGGGTGAGTGAGGGGTGTGCAGTTTTATAGCTCAGCCCAGAGCACAGGCGGTGGAGCCAGACAGTCCTGGGCTCGAGCCCAGCCCTTGCAGCTGTGTGATCTGAGCAAGTTACCTGACCTCTCTGAGCCCGGTTTTTTCACGTGAGGACGTGAGGTCATGCGACAGCACTTCTGGAAGGTCGGGGAGCCCGTGGCCCGGCCCTCACTCGGAAGTGCTCAGTGATGGGTTTGGAATATTGCGGGGACCGAGGGGTGGGGACATTGTCGCTGGCTGTGTGAGGATGGCCCTGGTGTGTGGAGCAAAAAGACAAGCTGGCCCCCGGGTGTAGGGCCTGGGGGTGCCACAGGGAGGTGCTTTCATGTTCCTGCCTTCCAGAAGGGGAGAGCCCCAGGCCTCACACAGGAAAGAGAAGGACCTGTGCCAGGTGCCTGCTTCATGTCCAGCTCTGCCACCCTCTTTCGTGGGGACCTAGGGCCCCATTGTTCACATGGGGGTGGCCTCTAGGCTCTTGGTGATCTCTTGGGAGCTGCCCTTGGTGACGCTGAGCTGTCTACAGGGGTCCTTCTGGGGCCTGAGGCCAGGTGGTCACCGGGCCCCTGCCCCTCGGCCCCTTTGTGAGCCTAGCACAGCCTGCACCTTTGGTGCGTGACCTGCAGCTCCTATGGCCACTCTTCCAGAAGCCCCTCTGCCTGGCAACGGGGCCTCCACCGAGGACTCCTGGTGCTGAGACGCACGGATCATGATTTCCTTCTGCCTGCGCCAGACTTTGCTTAGAAGAGAAAATGCCGGAAACAAAAAGGCTTGTCTCACCCTCAGCCTTAACAGGATTTATTATGAATAAATGAAACTCCCTTGCAGGGTAGTTGCTCTGCAGCCAGTGTGGCCTAGCAAGGCTCAGCTCCAAGTGATCAGCGCTGTCCTACGGAGACTGAAGCTTGGAGCAGCTGGTGACAGGACCACGGGCACGTAGCCTGGATTTGGGAGAAAATGGGAGTGGCCATCACTAGTGTTTGCGGAGCGCTCGCTAGGAGGCCTGAGCCAAGGATGTTATCTTATTAATGTATGTTATCTTATTTAATCAGAGCCTGGCAAACATCCCAGTCTGCCTCCAAGTCCCAGGCGACGCCTGTCACCCTGGCTTCATCATTCATACCCCCCTGAAGGTGAAAACTCTCAGAGCGCCCTGTGGAGCTGATAAGGAGCATGGTTTCGTTGCGTTTGGTCCTCGGTGGAGCCCTCTGGAATATCCCTATGAAGTGGATGAACGAACTGGGGGTCAGGGGATGGAGGGACTTGCTCAAGGTTACAGCTCGGAGGCAGGGCTGGTTTCCAGGATTTATAATCTCAGAAGTGGGATTGAAAGGCACGGCCCTCTAATCCTTCCCAAGCGACGGAAGGCCCCGCAGTGCACTTGCGGTGTCAGGGAGGGTGGTGGGAAGGCAGGGACGGGGGTCCCTGCAGAGGCCTGACCTTCCCAGGATCCCTCACCGGCGGTCAGCAGCCGGGGTCCCGGGAAGAATTCTGCCGAGAGAGAGCTTTTTCCCCTTCAAGGAATAAAAAGCACACACACACATTCCTCCGAATCAAAGGTGTGTCCAGAGAGAGGGAGGGCAAGGCCCCTTGACCAGCAGCTGCCAGCAACCTGGGCACATGACAGCCCCCGAAGGCTGCTGGCACCGACTCCAGCCAGGCATTTGCAGTGGACGGTGGTGCCAGGAGAGGGAGGGCAGCCTTTCACCAGCTTGGCACCTCTGCCATGTGACGGCCGCCTCCCTTGGGGGAGGGCGGGGCCGCCCTTTGGGCAGACGGGTGCCGCCCCAGGGGTGCTGCGGGCCACTGCGGGACCTTCAGGGCCCAGCTCCCGGCGCTGGCCTCTGTGCCTTGGCCGTGCCTGGGGCGGGGCGTGGGTCAGGAACTCGCACTGTCACTCTCGGGAGATAGGAACTCAGTCCCGTTCATAACCCCACCGTGTAACCTGGAAGGCACTTTGAAGCTTACAAAGGCAGTCATAGCCAGTGTCCTTGAAGGAGGCACTGTCACTGTCCACTCCCGAGAGCAGCCTGCAGCCTGGGAGGGGGCTTCTCCTCCCCGACGTCACCTGGGGGGCCGTTTCCTCGTTGGGTTCCAGTGCAGGGCTGTGATCTGGAGTCCAGGCCTTGTTGGCCGGAACCCCCAGGACAAGGGCGGCCGTGACGCGCATTCTGGTACCTTCGGTACTAGCGAAAGAACGAGCTGGCCCCGTAAGCTGGGAGATTTCCTGCGGCTGCCGTAACAAAAGATCACAAACCAGTGCGGGCTGAAAACCACAGACATGTCTTCTCTCCCAGTGCTGGGGCCCGGAACCCGATATCTCGATGTAGGCAGGCGGCGCTCCCTCTCAAGGCTCCAGGTAGGGCCCCCGGCCTCTTTCTGCCCTGGTGCCTCCAGGTGCCCCGTGGCTTGTGGCTGCACTGCTCCGGTCTCCGCCTCGTTTTCACGTGGCCCCTGTCCTTTCTCCCTGTGTCTCTCCTCTGAGCCCTTAGGAGGAGGCTGGTCATTGGATTTAGGGTCCTCCAGGATGATCTCATCTTAAGGTCCTTAACTGCATCTGCAGATGCCTGTTTCCACATAGGGCCACATTTGGTTAGGACGTGGACATATCTTTCGAAGCCACCGTGCAAGCCGCTACAGGAGATTTCATGAACTCATCTCAATTTCCAGAGCGCCTGGTGTTGCTTGGCCGGCCCCCTCCAGCAGTGACCAGAGGTTGCTGGGTAGCAGAAGCTTTAGGTAGGGCAGGCCCTCACCTGTCTGCCACAGCGAACCCCACCCCTGACCCCCTACCCTGCCTGGGACCCCTCACCTGGTCTTCCTAGTCCATTTCACAGCCAGATAAACTGAGGTAGCTCTGGGTGAGTTATTGCCAGGCCCGGGCTGCCCAGGGCACCCGGCCACGGGCAAACCCCAACGCAGCCCTCACTTTACCAAGGAGAAGCTGGGCTTGGTCAGGGGCCACGGGCAGCCTTCTTATCACGTGGAAGCCACCTGGGGGCTTCCCAGGGTGTTCTGCCTGCTCCCCTGTCACCAGGGGTAGCTTGTGTCAGGTTGGGATGACTCAGAATAATCAAATATGGCCATGTCTTTTGGGACGAGCGGCCATTTACCGTTTTTCCTGGGGATCAGGGGTTTTCCCTCTGTAAAGCTGAATAATGTTACCTGGTGTAGCCCTAGGCAATGTTACTTTGAAGGCTGAGAGAGAATGTGGAAGCGTTTTGGAGCCTGAAGAGAAGACGACAGGAGGAAGAGACTGTGGTGAGCATCAGGGACAGTGCAGCGTCCTCTCCTCAGCCATACGGGGAGTATGGTTAGGACAGAAGGGAGAGACCGTGGAGAGCATCAGGGCAGTGCAGTGTTACCTTCCTGAGCTGTGCAGGGAGTGTGGTTAGGACAGAAGGGAGAGACCGTGGCGAGCATCAGGGCAGTGCAGCGTCCCTTCCTGAGCTGTACGGGGAGTGTCCTTAGAAACTTCAGGAACTCCTTCCGTGGAGTTTGCCTGTTCTTTGCACCCATCCTGTGCTCAGCCCTGAGCTAGGCACTGGGGAAGGGGAGAGAGAAGGGCCTCTGTCTCTGTCCCTCTGGGTGTTATGTGACTCCAGGAGCTGGTTATTGAACGTCACAGGCGTGGCAGCCCCTGGCTGCCTGAGTGGCTGGACGTAGGCGGTGGGTGTGCGGGGCAGGAAGGACGCCTGGCTCAGGCCATCGGGGACAGTGCAGCGTCCCCTCCTGAGCCGTAAGTGCAGGAGCGGGGGCAGCAGTGAGTCTGGGATGGAGGATGCATTGTGGGGAGACCACAGGGAAGACCGCCCGAGGAAGAGCTCCTGTGTGACTGGTCACCCACAGAGAGATGGCGGTGAGGCCTCAGCATGGCTGGCTCAGAGCCCCTTCCTGAAATGGCTTCGCATCACGGTGGTACAGGAACGGAAATTCGGAGCAAGGGGAGGACTGCCATGCCTGTTTTCTGCGCTCTTCGGGGCAAGGCCAGAGCAGGAATTGGGTGTGGTGGGGGCTACTGAGCTTGGGTCCTATGTTCACTCTCTCCTTCCATTTATTTATTTATTTTTGAGACAGGGTCTGGCTCTGTTACGCAGGCTGGAATGCAGTGGTGCGATCATGGCTCACTGCAGCCTCGACCTCCGAGACCCAAGTGATCCTCCCACCTCAGCCTCCCAAGTAGCTGGGACTACTGCTATAGTATAGTCCAGTGCCTAGACTACACTAGGACTACAGGCACAGGCCACCACCTCTGGCTGATTTTTGTATTTTTGTAGAGATTGGGCTTTACCATGTAGCCCAGGCTGGTATCAAACTCCTGGGCTCAAGTGATCTGCCCGCCTTGGCCTACCAAAGCCCTGGGACTACAGACATGAGTCACTGCATCTGGCCTAATTACTTATTTTTTGGGGGATGGGTCTTGCTCTGTCACTCAGACTGGAGCACAGTGGCAGCATCATAGCTTAAGCAATGATTTTGTCACTACCCTCAAGCCCAGGAAACCTCAGACTCCTGGGCCCAAGTGATCCTCCTGTCTCAGCTGCCTGAGTAGGTGGGATTATAGGCATGAGACACCACATCTGGCTAATTGAAACAAATTTTTTTTTTTTTTTTTGGTGGAGACAAAGTCTTGCTGTGTGGCCCAGGTTGTTCTCAAACTCCTGGCCTCAAGTGATCCTCTGAACTCAGACCCTTCAGTAGCTGGGATTACAGGCGTGAGCCACTGGGCCTACTTCCTTTCCTTTTAGACTAAAAATCCAGTGTAGGAGCTTTGTGGTCCATTGAGTCAGCTACATTGCCTAGACTCCCTGTTGCTGGAGAAGTGTATCAGCTAGCTTTCACTGTGTAACAAACCACCTCAAAACGTTGTGACTTAAAACAGCAAGGGTTCATTATTCCTCCAGGTTCTGTGAGTTGGCTAAGCAAGATTTCTGATCCGGGCTGGCCTGGCTGTGGCTGGATGGTTGGGGAT